ATTTGTGATATTTTTATTTTACATTGAAAATATTCAAGTTTTGTTTCTTCGTAATTTTTGAAAATTAAAAAAAAAAACTAACAATGTGGTGCGTTGAAGAAATGTTCAGCTTGTTGATTTAATGGATTTACCATGATAATTAAAGCTAGAATACAGTGAACAGCTATGGTTAAATTAGCCGCATGCCGAATCCATGATGTTTGCACGGAATCAATTATCGAACTGTGCATACTACCACCGTACGTCAAATAACCATAAACCGATAATGGCATATATAAAAAGGCAACAACTGCAAATTAGAAAAAAAAAATTCATCTATACAAGAATTATGTTAACAAACATATAAATTCGGCTAATTTAATAATATATTTGTGATTTTTCTCAAATTACATCAGTTGATATTGAAATTTTTTTGAATTGAATTAAAATTATTGATCAATTCCCTTTGTTTAATTTATCTTTTTTTTTTAAATTAATTTTTCGCTTTTTTTTTCTCTTTGCAAATAATGAATGAATAAACATAATACAATAGACTTATATGTAATATATCTATCGAATTTGTTAATCATTGGTAAATTTAACAAATTTTCATGATTTAAATAATTTTTATTAAGAAGAAGAAAAAGAAAATCAAAGATACAATCAAACTTACTACAAAAACCAAGAATGATCGATTTAGAAAAGTCAATAGGACGATACATATCGTGTTGAATGGTAGGAAATACCTGATGACCGCTGAATGCAAACAGAAAAGTACCTAAGCTAACTATTGCACCACTAATTGAAGTTTTCGGATAATGTGCTTCTGGTAAACATGCGCTTACATCAAAGCTAATACCTAGGGCAATTAAAAAAACGGCCATCATGGTACATAACATTGCAATTACGATCACTAACCTGAAATAAAATATTAATACATTTTTTTTTTAAACGAGTACGAGTATAAAATTAAACGAGTAATGATAAACAATAATATTGCAATAAATATTGATGAATAAATTGAATTGATTAAACAAACTACCAAAAATCAGCTGGTGATTTGAGATATGTAAGGGGCATTATAGCAACAGTTGTAATACATATCAAATAGCAAAGGCTAATATTAATGCCCAAAAATGATGCCAAAAAATGTTGGAAAATTTTTGATGATAACAGTATAAATACTACCGATGTACCAAACATTGTCAAATAAACAATGCGAGCGGCAATTTTCCT